GAGTTCCCTACAGCTCAACATAACAGCATGGCTTTACTTCTTATACTTCATTTTTATACTTTTCTGCTGGATGGTTAAGACCAAAGTAAAGCAGGACCTACGCACCAGGAGTGGTAGCTTTTGGGTCTGATAAGGTCAGTGCAATCCCCTCAGGATTTATCCTAGAGATCCTGTACCTCAGATCAGTCCTGTTTTCCTGCAGGCAGCGGGTGGCCCTACTCGCCGATTTCACACTCGCTATCAGTTGTCACTTGGGAATTTCCCACACAGTATTATAGTACAAGCATTTCCTTTAATGTCTTTTTTTTTTTGAGTTTTTTGTTTGTACCAAGGATTGAACTCAGGACCCTGTGCTTGCCAGGCGAGTGTGTATTCTACTAAGCTATCTCCCTGGCCCTTCCTTCAATGTCAAAATACCCTAAAAATGTAATTTCTGATTGCTACATAGCGGTCCGCTGAATGAAGATTCACAATTCCACCAATAAAACACTGTCTACACTGCCCAGTAGGCCGTTCCCAATATTTCACATGCAAGCATCTTCTCACAGAAATCTATGCCAACATTCCCATCTGCTCCTGAAAGGCAGATCCTGAGAGAGGAACTCTTCTCAGGGTGCACGCCCTTTTGCAAGGTAAGCCTCACCAGTCCTCTGCACCTCACCAGCGCTGTTTTCCAGCAGCGCTGTGCTCAATCGGGAACTTCCCCCGAAGGCACAGTTACCACTCGGCGTTGGTCTGCGTTTTGGATTCCAGCGAAACTGCACCCTTTTTGCGAACCACTCGCACTCTCTCTCCTGAGGGTCGGCCTCACACTTGAGCTGTTCGCAGGGGGCGTCGTAGCTGCCGGGCCCTGACTCTCCTGCGGAAGCTGGCCAGCGGGCCGCGGGCAGGGGAGGCCCACCCGCCGGTGCCTGCAGCGCTGCCCCGCTCGCTCCGCACTGTCTGCACCACCACCGGTCAGATCAGTTTAATTCTCGGAAATCACAGTCAGCGGTCATCTCTTCTGTATACCCTTAAGAGCTTGGAAGCCTCTCCAAGCTCTCTGTCAAAGCCTCGCGAGGCCCTCGCACGCGGCCCGGCCTCCGGTGTGCGGAGCCGGCGCTCCGCCCTGTCCCCCCTCCGCCACGGAGCCCCCGGCTCCCCGGCTGTCCCCCCCCG